GCTGTGTTTCTCAAGGCCCAGACCCCCAATTTTCTTCAATCTCTGAGAACCATGAAGACACTGCCTTCCCTTTTTTGTTTTTGCCCTCCTCCCTCATTCTACTCGCTACAAACCTAGCTTGATTCTTTAGCTTCTGCAGAATCAAAGGGGCCTTGATCTTCTTATGGCTGAAAAAGGCTAACTTTGTCTGGAATGCTATTTTTATGTCAATCAATTTGGTATAATAAAGGACAAGATAAAACCACTCCAACAGGACCTTGAATGTTGGAAACAATAGCTCTTCTCTGCTGAAGGATGCTAGCTAATCCCCTTCTCCAGTGGGCACTTCCTTTCCTGACATCTCTCCTTGTCATAAGCCCTTTGCTAATGCTTTCCCCCTGCATCATTAGATTTATTCAAGACTAGGTTCAAATGGTCTCTAACCAAACCATGAGCTAGCTTCTGTTACAGGACTTCCAACCCCTCACCAAAATTGAGCCACCCATAGTCAGTATCGCCTGGCACCTCCTGTCCATCATCATTGTTTCCATGACACCCTGTGCCCCTAACAAGAGTCCAGACACTGCCCCTTCCCAGCAAGAAGAAGCTACAGAAGATTGATCTATGCCCCTGTTTCTTAAGGGGCCCAATAACAAACAAAAAAAGGGGGGAGGATGTAAGGTCCTTGCTTAGAATCTGGGTGGCCATCTTAAGTGACAGCTGCTATTTTAAGTATTTTGCTTTCCCACCCAAGGGTCTTTCTGAGAAAGGCTCACCCACTCCCTCATACCAACCTTAACTGCTCACTGTAGGACCTGCCCCCCTCTAATCCCTGAGCCTGACCTATAAAAGTTTCAGAACTCAAGCCTGTGTTGCCTCTCTCCACTATGGAGGGATGTACCTTTATTTGACAAATAAACTATCTTGTGTGTCTCTGTCTGGTCTCTGTCTTTCATTTCTCGATCACCCAAATCCCTCTTCCTTACTTTCCTTTCACTCTCAATCTCAGGTAACTCACCAGAGTTGCAGGGCCCTTAGAGGGGGTCCCATCATTCTCTGGATACTGGTTGGCCTTAGAGGGCAAAGGCCAAATATCGGCAGCTTTTTCCTTTGGCCCTTTTTCTTCCTTGACATTAGTCTCCAAGTTTTTGGTTATAAACATCTAGCAGGCCAGTTTTCACCAGTATTTAAGTGAGAATAAAGGGTTTTAATTTTACTGTTACCCCTTTCATTTAATTGGGGTCAGTATTAGCACTGGAAATTAGCCTTATATCCTGTCTGTCCTGTAGGTAATGGCTTATTATCTCAAATTAACTCAGATCGTTCTATTAGAAGGAGTACTTCTGTAAAACATTAAGAGGCAACAGTTATAAAATTTATAAGAACAAAATGAAATTAATAATAGCAAAATCATATTCATATTCATATTTGTATAATTGCTGTGATTCAAACCATATTTATATAATCCCAAACCTCACTTAGGTATATATTATATCTCCTGTTTATTTTGAGAGCACAGTAATTTTTAAAAATATATTTATTTATTTATTGTAGTTTTAGGTGGACACAATATCTTCATTTTATTTTTATGTGGTGCTGAGGATCGAACCCAGTACCTCATGCATGCTAGGCGAGCCACTGAGCCACAACCACAGCTCAAGATCACAGTAAATTTTTAAACAAAAATTTGTCCTTTGAACATAACTTTAAATGAGCTTAAGTCTAGCTTACTTTGAACTCATCCTAACATGGAGTAAGGTGAGAGGCAGAGTCTTAATTTGGGTGAGGTGGGGCTCTGGACATATTTTAGGTAAATTATCTTATCTCTGAAGCTGATCTTTGCCTTTTCCTTAAATTTTACAAAGTTTTTATGTACTGTTTCCTGAGTCTATATGAATGTTAGTTAACATAATACAACATTACATCTGAAACATAAATCAAACAAAAGCTAAGAAAGCTTTTAATCCCTTTTGTGGGAAAGTGGCAAAATGTTTTCATGTTTCAAAATATTAACCTTTAAACAGATAAGGCTTTTATTATCCTTCAGAAATAGAGTTACATTTCCACCCCCATATAAAAAGTAACACATTTTAGACATATCTTATTGATAACAGATCCAGTTACAGAATATTAAATACCATAAATAAATCCCCAATTAAATTACTATTACATACTTGAATTGGGTATCAACATACTTTATATACAAACAGAGACACAAAAATTGTGGTATAAATGTGTATTAAGAATTGTAATGCAAAAAAAAAAAAAGAATAGCCTTACCTTAGATTAGGTAGAGGGAAATGAAAGGAGGGGAAGGCAGGGGATGTGGGGATAAGAAAGATAGAAGAATGAAACAGACATTATTTCTTTATATATGGATGTGACTGTATGACCAATGTGATTCTACAATATGTATAATCAGAAAAATGAGAAATTATATCCCATCTATGCATGATATATAAAAGTATATAAGAGCTTTCTACTGTCATGTATAACTAATTAAAACAAATAAAATTTTTTTTTAAAAAGCAAATAAATAAATAAATTACTATTACAGACAACTTTAGTTTGGAGAATACCAGCTTGGCAAAGTGCTCTCTTAAGCTCTATATTTTAAAACTTGTATACTGGAAGAACATGAATATTTTTAATGTACAAAGAAGAACTAATAGCAACACAATTACAAAAATGTCCTTATATTAACTAGGTTTAATTTCACAGTGAAATTCAAAATCCACAGATCATTATAGGCTTGTAGAATTTAGCAATATTAGCAAAAATCAAGGATAGCCTTAAATCTTATATATTTAGGGAACACTGGTAATGATCAGACCTAGACTTAGTTAAAGCAGACAGATATAAGCTAGTTTTTCAAATGGCAGTGTTGCCTTTTTATGCCAGATGTAATGTATAAAAGAGAGCACTTATTAGTTAAACCTATGTGAACTTTTATTTTATAAAATTTTACAGAACATTTAGATAAGACTCAGACAAACATATTTAGTTTCAGATATATACATAGGTTTAGTTGCATATATTTAGATTATTCATGAAAATCAAGCCTGGTCAAAATTTTAGGTCATCTGTTTCTCTGACAAAGAGAGAGAGAGAAAAAAAAACCTAAATGCAATGGAAATTACAGTTAGAGCTCTCAAGTCTTGCACAAATTTGTACTTATCAGTGTGAAGTTTTTTAACAGGCAGAAAAGGCATAGTAGGATATCTGGCAAAGCTGATTCAATTCACATTTTAAACAATTGTCCAGAAGAGAATGAATCCTAATTAATGTCTCTTTCTTAAGGGTTTATTTCCCCACCCCTGGGTTAAGTTATTTTCTCCTAAAACAGGATCTTGGTTAAAATAACTTTGATCATTGATCATCTTTCTCAGCAGAGTAGGCTGTTTCCTCTTCCTGGGAGGCACTTGCAAATAAAGTTGTTGCTTTTGGGGTGAAAATGCCATCTGTATAATTAAGTTACACAACAAATTTTATCCCAGGAGAGATATCAGACAGTCTAACATAGACAAAAAAAAAAAAAAGTGTGCTTTAATCTTTTTGGTTTTTTTTTCATCCCAGTTTGTATTCAAGGGATTGGAGCACAGGATATTGTTGTTTGACCAATGTCCCTTATCATCATCATAATGCCAACAAGAAGTGAGTTCCCCACTGTCAATTATATAAATATTATTATTATTATTATTATTATTATTATTATTATTATTATTATTATATGATATATATACCCATACATATCATATATAGATAGATAGATAAATAGATAGATAGATATAAATAGATAGATACTCTGTCTAATAAAGGTCACATTGACTGTTAGGTTGGTAGGTTTCCCTTCCCCCTCCCCTTTCATGGCGGCTGTGGGTGGACACTTTCCACCTGGCTGAAGAGACCTGAAATGGTCAATCAGAAGCCGACATGGCAACAGACCTCAACCACCATGGGCTGCCACCAGCGGAAGCAATCGCCCTGTCAATTCAATCAGCCCTGACGAACCCACGACAGACACGATCCCCCTAAACTTGGCCTGGCCAACCTGCTGTCCATAGCTGCAATTTAGATGGCCTAGGCCCTCCTACCTCCAGTTTCCCTTATTAGCATTGTTCTTGACTTTCCTGCCTGAGACTTCCCCAGCCCTCACCCTTTCACAGACCGGTGAACCTCGCCCACGAGCGCTCCCCAATAACCTTCCTCTGGTGCCTCATTCTTGTTCTGTGGTTCCTGATGTCACACATCCCTTTCTGCTTTATACTGACCATGCAGAGAATGTTAGTGGCCTCTCTCTGCAGAAGTCAGCAGGGCCAGGACCCAGGTGCTTGCATGCTTGGGGACTCTGGAAAGCACTTTTAATTTAGCTCTGTGGGCAACCTTAGGGCTGCTCCCAGAAGTATCCCCGGCCTAATGTGGCATTCTGTTAAATCTTAAAAGGGGAGGCTATTGTGTTCCCAGGTTATAATTTAATAGTACTGGACCCCATTGCCCTGTTCCTTGTCACTGGCAGCTTTCATCCCCCACCCCATTAATATACGCTGGTTAGTTGCCAGACAATGTGAGTAATGGTCCCCAAATAAGGTTTTTTTTCTTTTTCCTAAATGTAAAGAAACCCTATGATTTTAAGCATTCTAATCCACTCCTTTGTCCCAGAGTGGCAGAGAAATAGAAATGGGGTAAACCTAAATGGACTTTACAAAGAATTCAGACTTAGGAACTAAAAAAGCACAGCCAAATAGAAAGTCACAGGCCTTGGTATGTTCCCAACATCTGCACAGCATAGATTGCAACAATTAGCCCCAATGCTTTTTTTTTTTTTAATACTTGAAAACTTAATTTTCTTAAATGAGCACCAACAGAGATCAGAAATATGGCAGAAACGATGGACTTCTCTAATACTGAATCACTACAAATACATGAAAAGGTGAAGACAAATTATTTGATAATAATTGTCTCTGTTACTGAGGCAAGATGACCTGAAAAAATGCCAACAAAGACAAAAACAAAACAACTAATACAGTTTGTAAACACAAGCATAAATAGATCCTTTATTGTAAGATAGAATTTTCAGGTTGGGAAAAAGGAACCAACTCCCACTTTTACCAAAATGTTATATAAAATACAGGAGCAGATAGAACTGGGTAATAAGAGAATAGCTTGTTTCTTGGCTTTATCTTTTACTACCAGTAAATTTTATGTCTATGCTTTTTTAAAAAATATAATCTTTTTTCATAGCTTGAGCGCATTTTCTCTTTTGAGGCAGGTTCTTTTAAAATATGTAAGTTGATTGTATTCAAGATTTGATCTCCCAGACTCTTCCTGAGGCAACCCGACCTTTAAAAAAAAAAAAAAAAAAAAAAAAAGCTGCTTACTTGGAAGGTATGTGAATTATGTTAATATATTTGTTTTTAACCCAAACCAGTTAATGTTTAACCTGATGTGGCTTCTAAAAAAATCTGTAGCCCTGGGACACATAATCAAGAAACTCACATCTCAGTTAAAAGCAGACTTAACTCTGCTCAACCTTCACAAATGGATTTCCTTTATAGTCTGTGAAAGTTGACCACACAAAGGAAAAAAGGAACAAAATGGCAACAGCTTCATGCTCAGGAAACAAACACCTTGTGGTTTGTGCTGTTGGTCCACTAAAAAACAAAAACAACCAGAGAGAGAGAAGAAAAAACCTTATGTGCCCACAGTGTAAATTATAATTACAAGTATCTCCAAAAGAAAAGAAAACAGGAACCACAATCCAAAGTGCTTGCGCGCCTGTGTGAGCTCTCTCTCTCTCTCTCTCTCTCTCTCTCTCTCTCTCTCTCTCTCTCTTTTCGAGCGCGCTCAAACACACACACAAATTCAAGATTTCAATTTGTTGAGATATTTACCAACAAATATAATTACTCTAAGTTATTACTACTAAATTTTCTTGGTTTCATTTATTTTCTTTTCTAGGCAATACTGGTGCAAGAAAATATTTCAGTTCTCAACTTGGTAATTTACTGCAGAATCTGTTCCATTAGGGGGAAAAAATACAAATAGGCATTGCTTTAAAAACTCAATCCAGTTTAAAGTGTGATATCTTTTTAAAAAAATTATTGGTGATTACTGTTTCCCTTTAAATATATTTCAAGAAATGCAGAGAAAACCATTGAATTTAAAGTGAAAACAAAAAATGCTCTCAGAGGATCTAAGAAAACAGCACCAAAAATTAATGGTGGAAATTTACTTTAAAATCTAACTATAAAGGGGACACCTCCTTTGCACACACTGGCCTATCAGTAAAGACTAACTTTATCCTATCTACATATTGTTACTGTCACAGGAGCTGGGGCAGTACTCAGACCTAGCTGAGAAATTATGGGCAGCAAGTTTGGCTTATTTGATTCCTCAAGTCAACCTATCAACAGCCTGAAACTAATATCCTGGGGGGCAAGGGAAGGGACCTGGGTATACGTCAGGGTGGCCAAGGCCATATGACCTAGGTGGTGCAGCTGAGCTGGAATGCAAATCTGCCAAACTTTATTAAAAAGGAGGGCAGTTGGTCACCAGGCATGGTGGCATGTGCCTGTAATCCCAGTGGCTCAGGAAGCTGAGGCAGGTGGATCATGAGTTCAAAGCTAGCCTCAGCAATTTATCAAGGCACTAAGCAACTCATTGAGATCATGTCTCTAAATAAAATACACAATAGGGCTAAGGATGTGACCAGTGGTTGAGTGCCCCTGAGTTCAATCCCCAGTACTCCCCTAAAACAAACAAATAAACAAGAACAAGTTCAATAACAACAAAAACAAAACAAAACAAAACAAAAAACAAACAAGGGCAGTAAATGACTGAACATAGAACTTTTTGCTTTTTCCTTTTCCCACTTCTTCTTTCCCCTTCCCTTCTCCCCTCTACCCAACCCAAGGTTTAATCAATAAACTCCAATTCCTTGAACCTCAACATAGGGTGAATGGATGAGGTCTTTGGTTATGCTCTAAGTCAAAAATTTGCTGAGAAAAATTAAAGAATAAACTGATAGAGGCCAGGAGTTGATGGGTCTCCATTACTCACCTGTGGCCTCTCCAGTGCTATTAAATGTTAGATAAACCACGAATGGAGCTTGTTATAAGAATTGTGTTTGGTTTCACTGACACAAAGGGAAGCTTAATGAGTTGTGTCCCCCCCACCCCGCCCCCGCCACCTCCCCCGCAGTTGGTCAAAACTCACCTTGTTCCTATGTACTCTTCAGCTGAGATTCCTCAGAGACCACTCTTGAAGACATGTGCAAAGGCTTTTGGCTCCTTTAGCTTTTCTCTGCCAGTGATGCCACCTGCCAGGATGGATTGGGGTTCAGGCTGACCATATGTAGCTTCTCTTGGAAGCATCAGGACATTTCTGTCTCCAATGACCCTCCTTTTTTGCAGGATGTGCACTGTTTGACATCCTGTTCTCTAGGATCCTCTCAATCTCCCTGAGCAGTAGATCAGGTAACTCACCAGAGTTATAGGGCTCAGAGAGAGAGTTCATGTCTTTCTCTGAGTCTTGGATGACCTTAAAAGGTAAGGGCTGAAATGTTGACTGATTTTTCCTTGTCCCATTTACTAACTTGACTTTAGTCTCCAAGTTTTTGGTTTTAAATACCCAGCAAGCCAATTTCACCAGTCTTAAAGAGGTATTAACAGGTTATAACTTCAATATCTAAAATCCTTTTCATTTAATTGGGGTTAGTATTAGTACTGGAAGTCAGCATTATATAATATCTGTCTTGTAGATGATGGCTTAATATCTCAAATTAACCCAGGTTGGTTTTTTTATTGTTGTTGTTTGTTTGTTTAGAAGCAATACCTATAAAGTCCTTGCTTAGCATCTGGATGGCCATCTTAAGTGATAGCCACCATTTTAAGGAAAATGTTTTGCTTTCCCACCCAAGGGCATTTCTGAGAAAAGCTCATACTCCCTCATACCAACTCACCCCTAACCAGCCTCATTAGGACCCGCCCACCTCTGATTTCTGAGCCTGCCCCATAAAAGTCACGGAACCCAAGTCTGTTTTGCCTCTCTCTGCTATAGAGAGATGGCCTTTATTTGTCGGCTTTGACAAATAGACTCTCGTGTGTATCTCTGTCTGGTCTTTGTCTTTCCTTTCTTTCTTACTTATCTCTCTTTCCTCGCTTTCCCTTCAGTACCTCTGCAAAGCACTAACAGGTAACAGTTATAAAGTTTATAAGGAAAATACAGAAAATGAAATTATATATTATATTCCCTGTTTGAGATCACAGTTATTTTTATACTAAAAATCAATCATTGAACACAACTTTAAATGAGCTGAAGTCTAGCCTATTTTGGAGCCATTTTAACATGGGATAAGGTGGGAGGCAGAGACTTACATGAGGTATGGCAGGGCTCTTTAAAAAATACAGCATTACATCTGAAACATGAATCAAAGGAATGCTAGGGGAGGTTTTTTTGGTACTGGGATGGAACTCAGGAGCACTTGACCACTGAGCCACATCCCTAGCCCTGTTATGTATAATTTTAGAGACAGGGTCTCACTGAGTTGCTTAGTTTCTTGCTAAATTGGTGAGGCTGCCTTTGTATTCAAGATTCTCCTGTCTCAGCCCCCTGAATCACTGGGATTACAGGCATGCACCACCACATCCAGGCCTAAGAGAGCTTTTAACTTCCTTTTTTTGTGAAAAAAGGGGCCAAATGTTTCCATCTTTTATAGTGTCACCTTTAAACAGATCAGGATCCCCGTATTATCTTCCAAAAATGTATTTAATGTCCAAATCCAGTGTGAAGAGTAACACAAAATTGTATATATAATTTATTGACAACAGGTTAGTTACTTTATCCAGCTATGAAACATCAAATGACATGAATAAATACTAACCAAATTTATTATTTATGTATAAATCTAAGACTTCTGCTATAGATAATTTTAGTTTGAACTAAATTTAACATCAACTTGGCAAAGTACTCTCCTAAACTTCACATTTAACTAAGTTTAAAGTATAATTTAGAATCTGAAGTGTATGGTAACAATATCCACAGGTTTTCATGGGTTAACAAAAACCAAAGGATAGCCTTAAATTTCTTGTACATTAGGAAACAGTGTTAATGATCAGAAATTGACTTAGTCGAAGCAAATGGATATAAGGCGGGTATACGACGGTGTGGCCCTTCTATGTCAGATATAATTTATAAAAGAGAGTACTTATTTGTTATTTTGCCAGTAAACTTACATAAACTTTCATTTTATAAACTTTTACATAACACTTAGACAAGGCTTAGACAGATACATTTCTCAGATACATACATATACCTAGTTGCATATATTTTGGGTGTCAACTATATTGTTATAACCTAAAAAACTGTTTGGGTTTTTTTAACCATTTATAAGCCAATCATTTAAGACTTTCAACAGGTACAAACCCTAATTCCTCTAAGACTTAGTTTCTACCAAATAATAAAACCTAACAAATACAAGAAAATTATCTTGATAAGAGCAGATCAATGTTTCAGACTTTGCTTCATATCAGTACACAAAAGTTCAAATAACTTTAACTGGCAGAGCTAACTATAGCTACTGGGATGGTCCCTCAATTCTTCCCTTTACTCACAGGAATAGCTCCTCTGGTTCTACCTGAAGCACACTAAACCTTCTCCTACCTTTCCAGCAGTCAGCTCTCAAAAAGTCTGCCTTACATCCTCATAATAGTAGTGGGGTTGAGTGAGATCTGCCCAAGAAAGCTGGATCAAAGGCTGCTTTCAGGTCCCATCTAGGGTGCCAATTTTGTTACCAACATCTCCATCCTTGTTCCCAATGCCAATCTAAAAACAAGGACACAGTTTTGGGAAACAGAAGTTTTATTGTTTTGCTAGCAAAGGAGAAACACAGGGGACACCTGTCCCAGAGGCTATAATTCTGCCTATACAGAAAAACAGAGAATTTTTAAGGAAGCTTTTCAAAGGCTACATTCCAGGTGTGCCCTGACACAGGGTCCCAGGAGTGCCCTGTTGGTGTGTTGAAATTCACTTGTTCATTTTGGGAGATAGTTACTTCCTGTTCCTTCTGGTGATATCCCCTTACTGTGGAGAACAGATAACTCGAGGAAATCTTGTTCCCTGCCTCCAAGGTTAAAGATGGGGAGAGGGAAAAGAGAAAAAGAAAAACATGTCCCTTTAAAAATAAGCAGAAAGGGCTGTGTTCAAAATGTGAAGTGGACCTCTGTCAGGCTATGAATAATTATACACCAGCAAGTTTCTTACCTTGGAAAAGTGGATAAATTCTAGAAAAAGGCTCCAAGACTGACCATTAAGAAACAGAAAATCTGAATAGACCTATAACTCATATGGAGATTGAATAAACTGTGATAAACTTCTACATTAACAAAAATGAAAAGAGCTTAAATACCAATTGAATCAGAAACCTCCAAACAAAGAAAAGCTGCAGATTGCATGGCATCACTGGCAAACTCTCCCATTGTTTAAAGAATTAATGCCAATTCTTCTCAAACTCATATTATGTGGTCAACATTTATCCTAATACAAAAGCCAAACATAGACACCACAGAACAGCCTAGCTCTGATGAATACAAAAGCAAAAACTCTCAATGACAAGCTAGCTAGGTGAATTCAGTAGCACATTAAAAGAACCATGCACATGACCAAGTGGGATTTATCCATTGGTTGTAAAGCTATTTCAGGATATGAAAATCAATTAATGTTTAACACCACATTAACACAATAAAGGATGCAAAAATCACCTGATCATCTCAATAGAAGCAGAAAAAGCACTTAATAAAATGCAACAGCCTTTCATGATAAAAACTTTATATACAGGGAACAAACTTGGAATATAAGAAATATAATAAATATAAGAAAAGTGCCTCAGCATAGTAAAGGCATATACAAGTTTTCTCACCATTATCATGTTAGCTATGGGCTTCTCTTATATGGCCTTTACTATGTTTCAAAACACATTGAAAAGCTACAGGAATCAAAACTGTAAAAACAAACATACAGACCAATGGAATGGCATAGAAAACCCAGAAACAAGTCCATTCATATTTATTGTTCTTGTTCATTTGAGATGCTAAAGCAGACCTAGTAGCTTATAAACAATATAAACTTATTTCTCACAGTTTTGGAGGCTGGGAATCACAAGACTAAGGCCCAGCAGATGTGGTAGCTTATAAGGGCCTGTTTTTTGGCTCACAGAAGGTAATTTTCTTACCTGATGTTAGGGTAAAGAAACTCTGTGGGTTTTCTTCCATAGGTCATTAATCCTACTTTTGAGGACTCCATCCTCATGACCTAATCACATCACAAATGCCCCACCTCCAAAGAACCTCATCATATTGGGGATTAGGTTTCAACATATGAATTTTAAGGGGACACAATATTTAATCTATTCCATATACCAAGTAAAGCAATGTACAGATTTAGTGCAATCCCTATTAAAATCCCAAGCCTTTTTTTAAACAAAAGGAAAATGTTTAAAATTTATATAGAGCTGCAAAAAAATTCAAAGAACTATAACAATCCTTTAAAAAATTATAAATAAATATATTGTTCTAATTAGTTATACATGACAGAAGAATGCATTGTGACACATACTTAAATGGAGTATAACTTCTCATTTGTCTGGTTGTATATGATGTAGAGTTACACAAGTCATGTAATCATATACACGCATAGAGTAATGATGTTCAATTCATTCTACTATCATTCCTACTCTGATTCCCCTCGTCTCCCTTCGCTCCCTTCTGTCTAGTCCAAATTACCTCTATTCTTTCCTCTCCTACTTGTTGTGAATTAGCATCTGCATATCAGAGAAAACATTTGACCTTTGGTTGTTTGGAATTGGCTTATTTTGCTTAGCATAATATTCTCCAGTTCCATCCATTTACCTCTAAATAATTTCATTCTTCTTTAAGTCTGAAAAATATTTGCTGTGTATGTATATATATAGTTTCTTTATCCATTTATCTATTGGAGGGCACCTACATTGGTCCAAAATTTAGCTATTGTGAATTGAGCTGCTATAAACATTGATGTGGCTGCATCACAGTAGTATGCTGATTTTAAGTCCTTTGGATATAAGCCTAAGAATAGAATGACAGGGCCACATGGTGGTTCCATTTCAAGTTTTCTTAGGAATCCCCATATTGCTTTCCAAAATGGTTGTACCAATTTGCAGTCCCACCAGCAGTGTGTGAGTGTACCTTTTCCCCCACATCCATACCAACATTTATTGTTGCTTGTATTCTTGATTGCCATTCTGACTGGAGTGAGATGGAGTCTCAGTGTAGTTTTTATTTGCATTTCTCTAATTGCTAGAGATGTTGAACATTGTTTCATATATTTATTGATTGATTATATTTCTTCTGTGAAGTTTCTGTTCAGTTTCTCTGCGTGTGTATTGATTGGCTTACTTTTTGTTGTTAAATTTTTTGAATTCTTTATATATCCTGGAGATTGATGCTCTATCTGAGGTACATGTGGTAAAGACTTTTTCCATTTCTGTAGGCTCTCTCTTCTCATTCTTGATTGTTTCCTTTACTGTGAAGAAGCTTTTTAGTTTGATTTCATCCCATTTATTGATTTTTGATTTTACTTCTTGCACTTTAGGAGTCTTGTTAAGGAAGTCAGTTCCTAAGCTGACATGGTAGAGATTTGGGCCTACTTCTTCTTCTATTAGGTACAGGGTCTCTGTTCTAGTGTCTAAGTCTTTGATCCATTTTGAGTTGATTTTTTGTGTAGGGTGAGACATAGAGGTGTAATTTCATTTTGCTACATATAGATTTCCAGTTTTCCCAGCATCATTTGTTAAATAGGTTATCCTTTCTCCAATATATGTTTTCATCTACTGTGAGATAACCATATTTATGTGGGTTTGTCTCTGTGTCTTCTATTTTGTACCATTGGTGTACATGTCTATTTTGGTACCAATACCATGCTGTTTTTGTTACTATTGCTCTGTAGTATAGTAAGGTCTGGTATTGTGATGCCTCTTGCTTCACTCTTCTTGGTAAGGATTGCTTTGGCTGCTCTGGACCTCTTATTTTTCCAAATGTATTTCATGATTGCTTTTATAATTCCTCCGAAGAATGTCATTGGAATTTAATAAGAATTGCATTAAATCTGTATAACAGTTTTGGAAGTATGGCCATTTTGACAATGTTAATTCTGCCTATCCAAGAGCATAGGAGATCTTTCCACCTTCTAAGGTCTTCTTCAATTTCTTTCTTCAGTGTTCTGTAGTTTTCATTGTAAAGATCTTTACTTCTTTTGTTAGACTGATTTCCAAATATTTTATTTTATTTTTTGAGGCTATGGTGAATGGGGTAGTTTTATTAGCTTCTCTTTCAATGAATTCATCTCTGATATATAGGAATGCATTTGATTTATGGTATTAATTTTATATCCTGCTACTTTACTGAATTCATTTATTAGTTCCAAAATGTCTCTGGTGGAAGTTTTTGGACCTTCTAAATATAGAATCATGTCATCAGCAAATAGTTGAGTTTGAGTTCTTCTTTTCCTATTTGTATCTCTTTAATTTCTTTCTTCTATGTAATTTTCTGGCTAGAGTTTCAAGGATAATGTTGAATAAAAGTGGGGAAAGAGGGCATCCTTGTCTTCTTCCAGTTCTTAGAGAAATGCTTTCAATTTTTCTTCATTTAGAATGATATTGGCCTTGGATTTATCATATATAGCTTTTTACATGTTGAGGTATGATCCTACTATTTCTGTTTTTTTCTAGTGTTTTAAACATGAACCAGTGTTGTATTTTGTCAAATGCTTTTTCTCCATCTATTGAGATGATCATATGATTCTTGTCTTTAAGTCTATTGATGTAATGAATTGTTTATTGATTTCCATACGTTGAACAAAACTTGCATCCCTGGGATGAACCCCATTTGATTGTGGTATACTATCTTTTAAATATGTTTTTGTATGCAACTTTCTAGGCTTTCATTGAGAATTTTTGCATCTATGTTCATCCAAGACATTGATCTACAGTTTTCTTTCCTTGATATGCCTTTGTCTGGTTTTGGTATCAGGGTGATACTAGTCCCATAGAATCTCTTTGAAAGAGTTTCTTTCTTTTCTACTTATGTAATAATTTGAGGAGTATTGGTGTGAACTCTTCTTTAAAGGACTTGTAGAACTCAGCTGAGGATCCATCTGGTCCTGGGTTTTTCTTGGTTTGTAGGCTTTTGATGGTGTCTTCTGTTTCATTGCTTGAAATTGATCTGTTTAAATTGTGTTTGTCCTCCTGGTTCAGTTTGGGTAGATCATACATTTCTAGAAATTTTGTCAATATCTTCAAGATTTTATATTTTATTGGAATATAAATTTTCAAAATAGTTTCTAATTTTCTTCTGTATTTCAGTAGTGTCTGTCATGATATTCCTTATGAATTTTAGTAATTTCATTCAGTTTTCTCTCTCCTTTGTTTCATTAAGCATGGCTAAGGTTTATCAATTTTATTTATATTTTCAAAGAACCAACTTTTTGTTTTATCAATTTTTCAATTGTTTCTTTTGTTTCAATTTCATCAATTTCAACTCTTATTTTAAATATGTCCCGTCTTGTACCACTTTTGGTGCTGACTTAGTCTTTTTCTAGGGCTTTAAGATGTAGTGTTAGGACTTTTATTTGTTGACTTTCTATTCTTTTAATGAATGAGCTCAATGCAATGAACTTTCCTTTTAGCATAGCCTTCATGGTGTCCCATAGATTTTGGTATCACTATTTACCTCTAAGTATTTTTTTTTTCATGCTGATTTCTTCTGTTATCAATTCACCATTCTATAGTGTATTATTTAGTCTCCATGTGTTAGAGAAGTTTCTATTTTAAAAAATATTTATTTTTTTAGTTGTAGATGGACACAATATCTTTATTTTATTTATTTATTTTTATGTAGTGCTGAGGATCAAACCTAGGGCCTTGCATATGCAAGGCGAGTGCTCTACCGCTGAGCCATAACCCCCTCTATTTTTTATTTTACTGTTGACGTCTAATTTCATTCCAATATGATCTGATAGGATGCAGGTTATTATCTCTCTTTTGTGTGTGTGTGTGTGTTTGCTAAGAGTTGCTTTATGACATAAGATATAGTCTATTTTGGAGAAGCATCCACATACTGGTGAAAAGAAAGTGTATTCACTCATTGATAGATGAAATACTCTATATATGTTCATTAAATCTGAATTATTGATTGTGTTAAGATCTATCCAATGGTGAGAGTGGTATGTGTCAAAGTCATCCAGTATTATTGTGTTGTCGTCTATTTGATTCTTGAAATTGAGAAGGGTTTGTTTAATGTATGAGGATGCTCCATTTTGGGGGGCATAATATTCATTATTGCTATGTTTTGTTGATGTATAATTTCTTTAAGAAGTATGAAAGCCCTTCTTTGTCCCTTTTGATTAACTTTGGCTTGAAGTCAACTTTTTCTAATATGAGGATAGAAACCGCTGCTTGTTTACATAATCCATGTGAGTGATATATATTTTTCCCATACTTTCACCTTCAGTCTGTGGATGTCTTTTTGTATGAGGTGAGTGCCTTGGTGACAGCATATTTTTGGGTCTTGTTTTTTAATCCAATATGCTAGTCTATGCTTTTGGATTGATGAATTCAGGACATTAATGTCCGAGGTTATTATTGAGATGATTTTCATTCCTGGTCATTTCTAGTTTTTATTTTGAATTAGTTTCTCCTTTGACTGATTATTCCTTTAGTGTAGTTATACTTGTCACTTTTTTTCCCATTTCATCTTCATGAATATTTTGTTGAGAATATTTTGAAGTGCAGCCTTTCTGATTGCAAATTCTTTTAATTTTTGTTTAACATGGAAGGTTTTTGTTTTACCTTTAAATCTGAAGCTTGATTTTGCTGGATATAGGATTCTTGGTTGGCAATAATTTTCTTTCAGACTCTTGGTATATGTTATTCCAGAATCTCCTATCTTTTTTTTTTTTGAAATTTAAAGAAAAAATTTATTGAAGATTTGAAAAACAATTCCTAAAAGATTTGACTTTTCCAGAAAACTGTAGCTACACAATGCATTGCATCTATCATGTTAAAACGTGCATAAGACACAAATACAAAAACCATGAAACAAGCCACCATTCTTCAACAATTTGAGCAAAGATATAATGCCTAAGGAACAACATGGATGACTTGCGAAGGATGGGCTCTTTACTTTAAGCACCATTAAAAAAAAAAAAAGGAGCACAAATGGATGAGTGTGTTCAGTTATATACACTGAATTATACTTTTCGCACTAGGAATCAGAGCATTTTGTCATATAGCATTAACACATATTATAAAAGTGAGTAGTGTCAAAGGAATAGAACCACCAGCATTTAAAAGCAGCTTTGTCAACTAGGCAAACATTCTACAGCATATCTCTCTGTTGTCCATCATTGAATACACTGGTAGCAACTTTGAAATGAAATTAA